ACAATCTTCTTTCCCTGTCTCTTTTCAAACTTTATGGAATTTTTGTCTCTTACGATCTCTCGAGTGAATTTATCTTTAGTGAGAATTGTCTATAAGAAGGATTCGTGAATCTCTTAATGAGAATCGTCGTACGTGTTAAATAATTAACTGCGACGTAATTACTTTGAAGCACTGAACTTTGTAGGGTGTAACTTGACGAGCAATATAAGAAATTAAAGGCAAATTTAAGTGTTTCAAAATAAAAATAAGATAATCTTGGTTAAAAAAAGAAAGAATTTGTAATATTTTTAATGAATCTAATCATCAGTTGCATGTCCAATTTTTAGATAAAGTTATATATTTTCAAAGCTATATATATATGCACCGAGATACTATTAAAGATTGACATCCTTACGGAAGTTCGCGTCCTTGTGAATATCGAAGTAATTAAAAGTTAAAAACTGATAATATTGTACTTTTATGATTTATTAGTTTAGTAGATTTATGGGTATTTATGCATTTAGAACTCAAAAATATTCAATTTTCTTTAAAATAGTGATTTCAGTGTATCGTCAAAATTTTATTATCAACAGAGATGATAATGGCAGAAAAAAAATTGTAATTTTTCTGCAATATATAAAACATTATAGCTTTACAAGTATGCATATTTATTTATGGACGATTTAACGAAGATGTAACGAAAAATCATGAATTTAATAATGTATGAGCCAAATATTTATATGTTAATAATAACAAACTTATATCAACTGTCGATAATATCAGCGCTCTTCAATTATCTCCGGATCCTTAAGGCCCTTTTTATACCGCCGAAAATAAACTTTTTTCTCTTTTCATCCTTTTTTCGCTCTGTCAAAACTCACTAGATTTATGTGCGTCGCACTTCAACAAATGCGTTGGAGTAAGTAAGAGCTGTTATAGGAGCATATTAGAGCATGCAACGCGAATAAACCTACTATTACAATGAAATAATTTGAACTTAATGAAAATTAATAAAAATAAATTGTAAATATTGAGTGGATCCATATATTCGTTCGGTTTTTGAAGGCTAAAATTTTTTTGAAAGTAAAATTTTTGAAGGCAACCAGAACCGGAGATACTCGGAAAAAATTTTCACTACTAACAAAAACCGAACAAATATATGGATCCACCTAATATATTGAAAAATAAAGAGAAAATGTATATATATATATATATATATATAGAAAAA